ACTCCGGATTGAGGGCTACCTGCCAGTATCCCTTACATAAGTCTAGCGTGGTAATGTATTTGGCTTGACCAATCTTCTCCAGCAGATCATCAATTCTTGGCATCGGGTATGCATCAAACTTGGACTGGGCATTGAGCTTGCGGAAATCGATGCAGACACTCAAGGATCCATCTTTCTTGGGAACAATCACCATTGGGCTGCTCCATTCACTCGTTGATGGTTCGATCACTCCTAGCTCCTTCATCAACTTTATCTCCTCTTTCAAGGGTTCCACCAGCCTCTCAGGCACCCGGTAGGGACGATGACGTGTTGGTGTTGGATCAGAAAGGTGGATGGTGTGTTGGGTTAGCTCAGTCCGTCCAGGCCTCTGACAGAACAAAGCAGGAAACAGATTTAGGAGGTTCTGCAGCTCTTCCCTTTTGGAGTCTTCTAGGTGAGTGAGATTCACCACAGACGGCTGTCTCTTTACATCCTCCATATCCTCTTCTTCCACATCCTCTTCTACCTCCACCTTCCTCACCAGGAGGGCTGTTTCTGGTCCCTTACCGGGTGGCTCCTTCCACTCCTTTAATAGGTTGACATGGTAGGTCTGCCTGGTCTTCCCCTTGTCTGGATGATGAATTTCATACGTTACCGGCCCCATCTTGCGGATCACAGTGTATGGCCCCTGCCATTTAGCCAGTAACTTGTTAGTTGAAGTTGGTAAAAGTAGAAGCACCTTTTGTCCCTCTTGGAATTGTCTCAGTCTGGGATGTTGGTCGTACCATCTCTTCTGTGCTTGCCGTTTCTCTAGCAGATTTTCTTTGGCTTGTTCTCTGTACTTCTCCAAACGGTCTCGCATCTCTAGCACATAGTGCACAATGCCGCTCTCCTCCTTCTTCGATGTAGGTTCTCCTTCCCAGTCCTTCTTCAGCAAGTCTAGGGGTCCTTGTACCTGCCATCCATAAAGGAGCTCAAATGGTGAGAAGCCCGTCGATGCCTGGGGCACTTCTCTGTAAGCAAAGAGAACAAACGGTAACCACTTATCCCAATCTCGGCCTGTGTCTGCAACGAACTTCCGCAGCATGTTCTTGAGAGTTTGATTGAACCGCTCGACAAGTCCATCTGTCTGTGGGTGATATGGCGTTGTTCTTATGGCGGTGATGCCCATCTGCTTGTGTAGCTGCCCCATCAGACGTGATGTGAAGTTTGTTCCTTGGTCGGTAAGTATCTCCTCAGGTATGCCAACTCTGGAGAACAACTGAATCAAGGCATGGATGATTTTGGGTGTTGTAATAGAACGGAGTGGGTAGGCCTCAGGATACCTTGTGGCGTAGTCACTGACCACCAGGATATAACGATGTCCAGCACTGCTCTTTTCCAATGGCCCCACAATGTCCATGGCAATCCGCCTAAAAGGTGCAGAGATAACAGGGAGAGGTTGCAGGGGTGCTCTGCCCCGCTGGGACACAGCACTTGTCTTTTGGCAGACAGCACATGTTTTGCAGTGTGTTTGTACATCAGTATAAAGTGTGGGCCAGTAAAATCGTGAGCTAATGCGTGCATATGTTTTCTGTTGGCCTAGGTGACCAGCCCATGGAACAGTGTGTGCAAGGTGAAGAACAAGAGGACGACAACAAGCTGGCACAACTAAACGCAACACATCATTTGTTCTCACATATAACACACCATTCTCTACTACATATACCTCATTGCACAAAATTGATGTTTGTTCAGACTCGGCTTTAACAAATAAGGGTTTCAAGGTTTTATCTTCCCTTTGAAGTTGTGTTATATTCCCTGGGACCTTCCAGCCATCAACTTTGAGACCCTCTCCTGAGGACTCAGAGGCTGGAGTTCCCAGGTACTTTTCAAGACGCCGCTGGCGTCTTGACTTCCTAGGGCCCTTGGTCCCGCCCTGCAACAGACTACTATCCAAGTCTGGCAAGGGCTGTAGACCTGCCCTGGCTTGTGCTCTTGTAAGAGCTGGACATGACACATTAACAGTAGCAATGAAATGTTCAGAGTCTTTGATGGTGGGTTGCAAAAGTTCATATAGTACTGGAAAGTCTCTTCCTAGAATCATATCAGCGGGTAAATTGTCAACTACGGCAACATTAAGCAAGTACATTTGTTCTTGTACCTCAACCATGACCTCAGCTCGGGGATACTGCTTTATGTCCCCATGTACACATTGAACAGAGGTGGTGTTTTCATAACTGACATTATGTACAAAACGTGATTTCATCATTGACAAAGAGCTTCCAGTATCTAAGAGTGCTTTTAGTTCATGTCCGTTCACAGTAACATTACATACATTATGACCCTCCCCCACAGAGTCAAAATCACAGTCCCCTTCTCTTGGCACATAACAAAAACCCGTAAGTTTAGCTTTACGAGCAGGACATACCGATGCTTTATGACCCAGCTGCTGGCAGTAAGAGCAAATCAAGTCTTTGGTTGCAGGTTTTTGAGTTTGTACATTGTCCGACAGTTCAGTACGACCCCTCTCAGAACCAGTGTTATGTAATGTGTGACGTACAGTACCTTTATGTGGTTGAGTACGGAGCCCGCCACGATGTGCGTTCAGGTACTGCTGAGCCAACCGTGCTGCTGCCTGTCCTGACTTTGGCTCGTGCTCCTTTACCCAGGTGCGTGCGTCGTAGGGTAGCACCCGAAGCAGCTGCTCCAGGATGATGACCTCGCCAATCTCCTCTTTGGAGTGCTCCTCTGGTTGGACCCATCGCTTGTACAGGTTCTTTAGTTGGTGGTAGGTCTCTGTCGGCAATTCTCCCACTGGAACTGTAGATGACCTGAAGCGCTGGCGGTATGTCTCTGGAGAGATGTTGAACTTCTCCAGCAGTGCTTCTTTCAGATCAGCATAGACCTCAGCCTCTTCCTCGTCCATTGCCAGGTATGCCTCCAGTGCTTGTCCTGTCAGCAACGGAACCAGACGGTAGCTCCACTCCTCCTTAGGCCACCTCCATGTTCTGGCCAGACGCTCGAACCGCTGAAGATAATTCTCAATATCTTCCCCCTGCTGGAAGCTTGGCATCTTTGGCTCAGTCCACTGCATCGGCACTCTTGGCTCTGTGATTTGGAGAGTCATGGATATAGGCTGTTCTGTCTTTTGTGGATACCTTTGTTGCGGGTGTCGGTAGCTCCATTCGTGCACTCTCTGCATCAATGGAAGTCTCCGCAGGACTTATTGACTGCAGAATGGAATCACGAAGACCTCGGAGCTCCTGCATATATCGGTCCTCTCTCTCCTCTTGAGAGTCCAGAAATCTCCGCATCAGGGAATACATTCCCTCACCAGCTGTAGCATCAGAAGTAACTGGCTTGGATGGGGTTGAGCTGGACTTTGAGGAGACTCTGGGACGACTTGTGGCTCCCTCCTCATCCTCCGTTGTCACCACCGAATTCCAATCAGCCCCTTCCTCTGATGCTGCCTTCACTTGGGACCGTAAACCCGTCTTCGGTTTTCGGCCTTTTGGCGCTGTCTTGCGAGTAGCCATCCCACCGCTGCCACCAGATGTGATGAAAACGAGCCCACCAACTCGTCTTCAAGGGGGGAAGAAATGTGAGTTCGTAAAAAAAATGATGGCTTACTCGCAAAGCACTGTCGTGCAAGGTGATATTTATTTACAGAGCCAAAAAGTCCATCCACAGTGAAGATATTTACAAGTGCTAACAAAAAAATAGTAATAAAAAGTACCAAAGAAACAACAAACAGGAAAATAAAATCTGCAAAAATATACTCCAATTATATCTACAATAATAATAATAATAACGATAATATCAGGTATCCACAATATACTTGCTTGAGGCACCACAGTAGCACTCTTGCATCGACTTGGTTAACAAGTGTTGTAAGAAAGTTGGGCTCTGGCTTATATAGCCCAAACTCCCGCCCGTTTGTGGGCTAAACCATTCAACAGGTAAGTATTAAAACGTACAAATACACAAACATTAAATAACTTGACATTCAAGTCACACTTCACATTAAACACATAAAGAAAAAATCCTTAATATATAATTAACAACAAAACATACATTTTGTTAATATAAATAAACACATAATACACACTTCATGAACACAAAACACCTATTTAACAGACATAATGGTTTCGTCAGCTTCCGATCGCAGTGCGCATGCGCACACAATCCCAATCATTCTTAAACCAGCACTTCCTATGTGCTCGGTTTGACCGATCGCGACCGGAAGCCTGACTACGCCCACACAGACAAACACCAAACAGAGAAGACAACACAACAGGTGAAGTGGAGGTGTATGAAATGCCTATGGATGACTTATGAATTGCGGGGAGTGGATTTATGGAAATATGACCATTTGCTATCGAGATCGCGTGTGCACCCGCTCCTCAGATAGCGGCAACGGCAGGGAGGAACATTATGATGAATGAATGAGGTAAGTGGGCCTGTGAGTATGTCTGCGTGTCAGCGCGTCTGTGTGTGTGTGTGTTTGCAAGTATGTGTGTGCGTGAGAATGTGCGTGTGCGTACGAGAATGTGTGTGTGTGAATGCCAGTGCTGCTTTCCCAGCGGTGACAGTTAATGTGACTTTATCACAATCACTATTGTCTCTTTAATTAATTCTGAGCTCAGTTTTAACAGCAGATGGCGCTCTAGACTAGTTTTCACCCATCCTCGAAAATGCTCATGGGAAACAGTGCTTGTGCTTTTGGCTGAGTAGCCTAATATTAATTGACTTTTATGTCACAAGATCAATGTAAACACAGCTCACTATGAACACCAAGGCCCGGTTTCACAGACAAGGTTTAAGCCTAGTCTCAGACTAAACTGCCCACTTGAGCTGTCTTAACTCAAAGTGACTTGCACAGATATGGATTAAAATAGTCACAGATTAGGCCAATTCTGGATTAAACAAAGCTGGTTGCAAGAGGGAGGATTAATGCTAGTCTATGACTAAATGGCAGCTTAAATTAATCATTCAAGGTGGTAGGTTTAACTCCTGCTTAGCACTGTTTGTGAGGGAGCATGGAATATTTGGAATATCTGAATGAAAACCAACGCGCACAGCAGAGGCCTGCAAGAGTACTTTTGGATAGGAGTGATCCATTAAATTTCTTTGATGACACAGCTTTTCAAGGCCGCTTTCGCATGTACAAACAACATGCATTGGAGATAATATCTTTACTAGAACCTACACTTTCCTGTCTGTCTCTGAGAGGAAGGCCTTTACCCAGTTCTCTCCAAGTTTTGCTCACATTGAGGTTTTTGGCATCTGGGACCTTTCACCGTGAAACTGGTGATTTATGTGGTGTTAGTGAAGCAACTGTGTGTAGAATAGTTCACAAAGTCTGCAGAGCCATTTGTGAACTGAGGAGTGTTTACATAAAGTTTCCTGATGCGGCTGACCAAGCCAAATACAAAGTGCAATTTTATGAATATGGGCACTTCCCAGGTGTCATTGGTTGTATAGATGGATGTCATGTTCCCATCAAGTGTCCATCAACTCCTGATGCTGAGGAGTACAGGAACCGTAAGAACTGGTTTTCAATCAATGTTCAGGGTGTATGCACACCAAATTTAGAGTTTGCAAACCTTGTAGCACATTGGAAAGGTTCAACTCATGATTCAAGGATTTTTCTCAACTCATCATTGTGTGCTCAGTTTCAGAGAGGACAGCATAGTGGACTTCTACTTGGTGACAGTGGATATGGTCAAAGTACCTTTTTATTCACTCCATACATAAATCCCACAACAGTGGAGCAGCAGAGATACAATAGAGCTCATATCCAAACAAGAGGCATGGTTGAACGCATGTTTGGAATATGGAAAAATCGATTTCAGAGTTTACGCAACACACTTCGTTTCAGCCCAAGAAGATGCTGCAAGGTCATCATTGCTACAGCAGTGCTGCACAACTACCTGAAGCAATGCTGCTGTCCTGATCCTCCAATGGAAGATTACGATGAGGCAGATGTGGCAGTGGCTGAGGCAGCCAATGGTCAACGCGGACTTGCACATAGAGCTGCATTCACGTTACAGCACTTTAGCTAGATAAGATGAAAGTCAATATGGAATGCATTTATGGCTCATTTTTCCTTGACAATGTTCTGTACAAAATTAAAACAGTGTACAGCAAAGTCACTTAGTTAATACTAGTTGAAAATAAAAAATAAAACACTTTCACTCATGAATATGTAATGACAAATTGTTTATTTTTTTACACATCTTTCACACTATGGCTTGCAATCACAGCTGTCTCTTTACTATATCTTTTTTGTATCATACTTCTTTCTTCCAACTTCATATCCAATTCAACTTGTAGAATTTTCATTTTTATTTCATGCTCTTCCTTCATGAATTTCATTTTTTGCTCATGAAATTCTCTGGCCAACTTGTCATGAATAGTCATCCTGCTTGCTCGATTCTGAAAGGTGGTGGCAGCATCTTTTGAGAGGGATGCTGGAGCAGATGTTGAGGGCACACACTCACTGTGTTCTGGCTCATCCAACCTATTCAGAGCCCTCTGTTCTGTGGGGAAAAAACACAGAAGCACAACTGAATTCACAATCTCATGATCCTTTAGAAGAATAAAGATTGACGGAGTTGAATATGTACCAAAGAAAGTAAACAACTTTTTTTCTTACGTACCATTTGTGCTCAGTTCTTCATCTGAACTGTTCAAGTGATCATCATCTGGTATACCTTCCAGAGGTTGCTGGTTCTGTATTATTCCAGACAACAAGTCATCCACTTCATCAGTTTTATCTTTATTTGGTGGTCCACCACCAGTAATAAATCGCTGTCTTCTGATCTCTGCATCCTGTCTTTTTAAAGTCAGTTTTAGGTTCTTCCACAGAGTCTACAGGCAAATATCATTCATTATAACTTATGACAAAAATATAAATATGAGAAATGTGCAATGATAATACCAAAGAAATTTCACCTGAAGTTGTTGTATTGTTCTTGTGGTTACATTTTCATTTGCATTGAATTCATTGCAAATTGCATTCCAAGCACTCCTTTTCTTTTGTTCACTAGCAGTAGTATGGGTTTTACTTTCAATAACTGGATAGTTTGTCAAAATTTGTTTTAGTAGTGTTTTTTCATACTCACTAAAGTTTTTTGAACGGATCCTCTTTGCCTCTGCCATTGCTTTGTGTCAATTTTGCAACCAACAATACTGGTTTGTAGTCCATTTCAGGTTTTAATGAACACCATCAGACCAACAGCATGTGCTTATACTCAACCTAATCAGGCCTATCTCAGGTGTTCTCATTTAGGCTTACTTAAGTTGGTCCAGGACTCTGTAGTCTCTGACTAACTAAGCCTATTTTAAGCTACGTTCATGAAAGGTACTTAAATGCCCTAGATTAACTAGTACTGATTAAGGCCTACTCCTGGCTTATATTAAGCCCTGTCTGTGAAACCGGGCCCAAGTGTCTTAAACTTATCTAACTTCATTAAGGCTCACTAAGCTTAATGTAGCTCACTCTTGGAATTCACTTAAACCTTTCTAACTTTATTAATAACTATTATAGGTTCAGGTGGTATTTGTTAAGAATTTGATACAAGCAGAGTACAGCTGTTAGGAAACCATATAGTGTGACCTGTTGTAAAAACTAACCTCAGGACACACACAGCATAACAAACAAAATAGTTCTTCAAGTTGAATGCTGGCAATCAGTTCATGTTATGCGTTAGTATATGTGTTTTATGTAAATCTTGTCATGTCACCTATAAGCTTAACAATAATAATAGTGATAATAATAATAATAATAATAAACTAAGCTCAGAATCGATTCAAGAGAAAATATTGATATACTTTTAAAATCTGCAAACACAATTTCTCACCACAGTTGTAATTCCAAAAGTGCCAGCCTGTGCATCATCCCGGTGGCATAATCTACACACACTTAAAATTCAGATTTCGGTAATTGCATATCTGTGTTTGGCCACCAATGTGATGGACCAGATATCTGAAGCCACTGTCTTCTAATCATCCATAGTACAATCTGAGTGAGCTCAGGCTCATTTCATTGTGTTCTTGGCATTGGTGTGCAGTTAGTATGGGGACCCAGGTGGGTTTACAGCTATGTGGGCCCATACGCAGAAGGTGATTTATCATGCTGTGGCTTCTTCACCCCCTCTGGCATCAATGAGGGGTGCACAACACAAGGCTAGACGATGGTTCATCATTTGGCCGCCATTTCCAAGATCAAAGGCACTTTGCCAAAACAAATCATACTTTATCAAACCTGTGTGAACTGACTTTCAGTCAATAGAGCCGCAGTAGTAAAAGCTGCTGTTTTATCAACATTTCTTATTCTGACACCAAACATTTTACAGACTGAAAGTCAGTCCTCGTGAGAAATATATACTGGATGTGTGGCACTGTTTATTTGCCAGATGCACTTACAGATCTTTACATTATCTACCTTAAGGTAGAGGGTTAAACTAATTTTGAATAAGATTGCTCTTATAAAATAGTAAATGATGACAACCTACAGTTGTACAAGTTCTCATATCTCTTAATATTACAATATATTATAGTATTAAATCATGCAAATAATCAGTTCGTCTAAGAAAAAAGACATTTCTTCAAAATTCCCAAATGACGTTTCAAACATGTATGACAAGCATAGGGTGGCAACAGCATCTTTAAATGTTTAATCCAACTGTGTCCACGAGATGGCAGCAGCAAGTTATGTTTAAAAAACGCATCTCTCAATAAAGAAACCGTGCTGCACAGAAAAATGGCAAAGTACACACATTCTTTACTCAAGTAGAAAGAATTCAAAATAAAATAAAAAGTACTGACTACACTTCCATACTCAAGTAACAGTAAAGAAGTACAGCCTCAAACATGCAAGTAAAAGTATTCATTACTACTTCCTGTTAGTTTCACTCTAGTTACTATATACCTCACGTCATGTTGATACATTTATACAAATAACTTGCGTTTCTAATTTTGATGTAAAAATTCTGTTGCTAACTTTCAGCAGAAAGGCAGTCAAGTAACATTGCTCCACAATACTCAAAAAGTCGCCCCGTGTTATCATCTTGACAATCTCAGCAAGTTTTTCTGCTTTTAAATCAAGAACAACAGCTGCCATCCATGCTCATACACTCTATGGATAGGACTTTTTCTCTTGACCTAATAATAATAAATTTAGATTTAAATAATAAAAGTCTTCAATTTAACACTTACTATTGTCAAAAACATATTTCTTTTTTTATTTCCTATAATATAACAAATCACCTGTTGTATTTTTGGCAATAAGCTAAAAGCTGCTTCATTATCATGAATGTCCTGTGTTTTCAGCATTTGTTTGTTTACTTGGTAACACTTTATTGTGATGGTCCGGTTGAGTTTTAGTAGACTGTTTAATATTGTTGATACTGCTCCTTCAACACATACTTAACTAAAACATTGCAAGTCATGTCAACTTACACTAACCCTAACCTAACAGTCCACTTATAATCTAATGAGAATTAGTTGGCATGTAGATGCAATGTAACTTATATTTAACAAATGGACCATCAAAATAAAGTGTAACCGTTTGTTTTGATTTTTCTCAGAGTATTCATTCATTCATTTTCCTTCGGCTTAGCTTAGTCCCTTTATTAATCAGGAGTCTCCACAGCAGAATTAACCGCCAGCATGTGTTTTACACAGCAGATGCCCTTACAGCTGAAACTGGGAAACATCCATACACACTCATTCACATACACTATATTCAATTCACCTATTGAGCATGTCTTTGGACTGTGGGGGAAACCGGAGAACCCGGAGGAAACCTGTTGAGAACATGCAAACTCCACACAGAAATGCCAACTGGCCCAGCCAGGACTTGAACCAGCAATCTTCTTACTGTGAATGACAGTGCTAACCACTGAGCCACCATGTCAACCATAATTTCATTCATTGAAGTAAATAAATAAAAAAAAGAATAATTTGTTTCAGTTCATATCCAAAATACACTAGGATGACAACTATCCATTTTTATTGCATACTATTAAACATTATATATATATATATATATATATATATATATATATATATATATATATATATATATATATATATATATATATATATATATAGTCAAATTATGCAGTATGTAAAATAACTGTAGGTGCAGGAGATGATATTAGCCATAGTAAAACAAAATGATTTTCTTGATGTGGTACTCTTAAACATCATTTCACACTGCTCAGTTTATAGTTAGGATGACAAAGTTTCAACCAAAAATATTTAGACCGGGGGCATTGCTAGACCCAATTTACTGGGGCACATGCCCCAGTCAAGCTTTATGTCTAGCGTTACTACAAAAATGACTGAGATGGATAATTATCAATAAATAAATAATCAACTTAAATCACTGCAATTCTAAACACCCTGCTTAATCAGCAAGTATGACAATACAGTACAAAAATAGAACAGCAAATCTTGTCTTGCCAGATTTTTTTCATCAGATTAAATTTGCTGCCTCTCCCCAAACTGACTTTAGTTTGCAGAACTCAGTTTTGAATTATAGTTACTTAGCTGTCAAGAAAATGTTTCAATTGGATTATATTGAGTTTAGAATTAACTTTAGCTTGATAATATGCGGAACGAACCACGGAAGGCATATGGTCGGTTTGCAGGATGTTTTGAAGTATTTTTCTAGACTTGCTGTCTATGGAGGACGATGCAGCTCAAATTTCATATAAAATATTATAATTGGTCTTCTTAAGATGTCGAAAGAAGGTCTCAGTGGGTTAAAACGACATGTAGGTGGGTTATTAATAACATAATTTTTCTATGAACTAACCATTTAACAAATATTGGACGACAATACAGTGAATAATTCTTTTGGGTTCTGATGTCATTCCTACAGCACTCTGACTCAAGGGTTGTTTAGCAATGGTAGACACCAAGGTAGCGCAAGTTTGAAAAAAGTAAAAAGCAACACAGACAGCGCTCTGCGTGAGTTTTTAGAATCGACATGAACAACTGTTTTATCTTTTGTTAAATATAGAGATTAAAACATCCTCATAGCCTACTGCCG